GCCATGGCCCCATGCGCAGCGCTGGGGTCAGGAGGCTGGGCCTGCGGAAGGAACGGTTCGCGTTAGGGTTGGGGTCACCTGACCACGCATGAGACCCTGGGCCTGGTGACCCAGCGGAAGGAACCAAGGACTCCCTCCCCGCCCACTTGGTTCTTCCCTCCTGCATACCTGCCGTCTGCAGGGGGCCCAAACAGAGGACCACAGCCTTTCCTGCAGACCCAGGTTAAGTGGCGGCCTGCCTCAGTTTATCTCCTAGACTAGAGACTAGCTAACCTGCGGCCAAAGGAAGCCCGCCCTAAGGCTGCTTCAGGAGATCTGGGTGGGGCCCAGACACCAGCTTGTTACCTGATCACCATCCAATAAAGGTCAAGGGGGAAAGAGGGTGGTTTTAAATCTGAAAGAGACTAACATCCCAGCCCGGGTGCACGAGGCTTTGACTCCAATTTTCATGTCCCCGCAGAGCCCCGTACTAAATTGTAGAACAGGCTGGCTGACTCCTTTGGTAGCCAAATCAAATGTGTGCTCTTTACAGGTAGGAATATTCACCACAATAATCATGAAAAGATCTGGATAATCAGTGGAAAATAAAAATCTCAAATTCCCACAAGGTATTACAAATGAAAGTGCAAGGGTGTGGGGTCTCTCAAACGCATTCATTTTTGCCAGGTAGTAAGTCGGACAACCCCATGACAGGAGGAGGAGGAGCTTCTGAACAAATCCTGCAGGAAGCAGGGACCTTGTTGGGCTGCACCCTCAGTGAAAGGGTGTCCAGGGGAAAATTTATCTATTGGTATAGAAAGGTTGTAAGATTTCTCTGCCTGGTTCTAGGTAAAATAGAACCAGAGTATGTATATGAGAGTATGTGTCTAATTCCGACCTGCACAATGGGTTTGAGGTTGGAATTTTGGTCTATGAAACCAAAAGCTAAGAAATTACCCCCATAAAAAGTAGTCTCAGGTGGGCGACATCTCTGCCGTGTGCATTAGAACCAAACACATACTCGGTCTGGAGCAGTGCTTCTCAACCAAGTGACTCTGTCCCCAGAGGCATTTGGTGAGGCCTAGGCACATACTGATTGTCATGGCTGGGTGTGACTTGCATTTAGAGGGTAGAAACCAGAGTTCTGCTAAAACCCATAGTGTACAGGACAAAGGGCTGGGACCCAGCCCAAAATATCAACAGTGCCACTGTCTAGAGCAGTGGTTCTCAACCTTCCTAATGCTGCGACCCTTTAATGCAGTTCCTCATGTTGTGGTGACCCCCAAACATAAAATTATTTTCGTTGCTACTTCATAATTGTAATTTTGCTATTTATGAATCATAATGTAAATATCTGATATGCAAGATGTATTTTCATTGTTACAAACGGAACATAATTAAAGCAGTGATTAACCCTTTCCGGTCCAATTTGGTTTTGGAATTCAAACAGTCTGGTCCAAATTAATTGATGGGATTGCATGTTGAACCGGTTTGCGGTGTCGACCTCAGCCTCGACGTTGGACCTGCTCCTAGCGCCTGGTCTGTCGAGTCAGCCTCGACGTTGGACCGAAAAGGGTTAATCACAAAAACAATATGTAATTATATATGTGTTTTCCGGTGGTCTTAGGTGACCCCCAAAGGGGTCGCGACCCACAGGTTGAGAACCGCTGGTCTAGAGGGCCATGCTCTCAATTCAAGCCCCATAGGATTCCCACAGATGAAGCCCCAAGTAAGCTGAATTTACAAACCCAAATTAAAAAACAACAACACTCAAGGCAACAACCCACGTGGGCAAATATCAGCAGACACATGACTAATAGGATTAGGTTCCTAGGGACTTTAGATGACAGAATTATCAAAATAAAGATATGACAGAAGGAATTAAAAGTACAGACGCAACATGAAAAACACGAGGAGGATCTAAATAAGTAACGAAGCTTCTAGAAAGAACCAATACAGCCCGGAGATAAGACCCAGTCCGGAGGTGAGGCTGGGCCTGGGTGGCGCTCCCTCCCAGGTCTCCACAAGGAGTCAATAGGAGACAGACATCATGGAAAGGCCACACATGCGGAGGAGAAAGCAAACTTATCTGCTACCAGGAATCCCAGAAGAAGAGGCAACACTCAACCAAGGGGAAAAAAGTGTCAGGATTTAGAATTTCCAGTGTTAGGGATGGTGCCAGACAGGATGAGGAAAATTCCACGCCTGGTGCATTACAGGGGGAGCCAGCGAGCTTTAATCCCTAAAATAAATGCCTGCAGTGGGACCTGATGGTGTTAAACTTGGGAAGTAAGACAGCTTTTGGTGTGTTTTTTTTGTTTTGTTTTTTTTACTGGTGGGGAAAGATGGATTTGAGTGCTGGTGGCTGCAGGCCCTCTCCGGCTGTCTTGGCTGTGCTATTTCCAGCTTGAATCCCCAGAATGATTGGTTATTGGGGCCGGGACACACTCAGCTGGTCACAGCAGAAGGTCTGGGTCCACTCCTTCCCGAGGCAAATGCCCTCAGAGGCCAGGAGAGGCCTCTTCCCCATCACCCTGCTGTCTGCATCCTGGAGTCCTGCCTGGGGCAGGCTCACCACCCGGTCCCTGGAGCGGCTGAGCCCACCGCCCACGCAAGCCTGATGGAACCAGCACCTGGCCGGGAGCCAGCACCCTCAGCACCAGCACCTGCAGCACCAGGAGGCTCCCAGAGAACAGAGCAAACAAACGGAGGGAGGAGGCGCCCCTTAGGGATGGCCTTTCCTGGGGGGACTTCGGAGGCAGAGCTGGCAGAGTGAGTGAGTGTGTGTGTGTGTGGGAGTGTGTGTGTGTGTGGGCGTGTGTGAGTGTGTGAGTGTGAGCTGCCTGCAGGGCTTCCTCATCTAGGCAAAAGGAGAGAGAGTGAAAAGGAGAACACACAGAACTGGAATGGGATCTCAAGTACCAGAAGGCTGGCCCCCAGTTGAAGAAATACTCTGTAACTGAATTTCCCGTTCTGCATTTAGGCTTAAAAACATTGACTGCAATGGACCCAAACCTCTGTAGTAGACCAGGAAGTTTTAGATTTCAAAAGAAGTGAATTCATTATTCTTTTCCAGGAGACCCAAGCAACCCACAGAGGGCCCGTGGGAAAGGCTAGGGGCATCACCGCAGGCTCCAGGGTCTGTTTCTCACCTAATCTCAGGACAGCTGCCCCAGGCAGCTTGTGGGGAGAGAGCACACAGCCCCCAGCACCAGAGAGGGGGCTGAGGGTTGCTGGAGGCCCCACTCAGCTTACCAAGGAGCAGAGTGGGGTGGAGGAGGGAGATGGCGGGGAGAGGCAGCCTGCCCCTCACGGCCTTGGACTTCCTAACCTTTGGGGCAGGCGTGGCAGCGGGAGCTGGAGGGAGGTGTGGGGCTGGCAGGGAGGAGCTCCCATCACACACTTGGCCTTGCTTTTGAGGTGCAGCAGCTTCGGTTGCCTTCTGAGGGCCTGCCCTGTGGTAGGATCTCATGAATCCGTTGTCATTTAATGTGCACACGGACCCTAGGCAGCCATGCGAGAATTTTTTAGGAAAGATCACCAAGAGCAAAGATGTGTCATTAGAGACCGAGGCTAAGACCATCCACACCCGTATTCCAACGACCATGTGTGGATGCTAAAGTTGGACAGTGAAGAAGGCTGATAGGAAGGAATGGATTCATCTGAAATGTGGTGTTGGAGGAGAGCTCCACAGAGACCCTGGACCAACAGAAAGATGGACAGGTGAGTCCTAGAGAGAATTGAAGCTGAAACATCGCTGGAGGCAAAAATGACAAAACCGAAGCTATCCTGCTTTGGACACATCAGAAGAAGGCAGGTTCTTTGGAAAAGACAATAATGCTGGAAAAACAGAAGGCGGCAGGAAACAAGGAGACCAAATATGAGATGGATTGACTCCATGAAAGAAGCCACAGGCTGAGTCTATAGGAGCTGAGCAGGGCTGTGAGGACAGGACACTGTGAATGCAACCCACTCATGGGGTACCCAGGAGTCAACCCAACGGCATGTAACACACACAGGACCCTAAGAAACAGATCCTGTTGGCTGCATCTTACAGATTGGTAAACCGACGCCCAGAGAGGTTAAGTAACTCCTGCAGCCACACACTGCTCAGTGGCAGCTAGGATTCCATGCCCCATTATCTTCCTCTCTGCTTCATGGAGGTTAATCGAGGAAATAATATGGCCGAGTCACCTGCCTGCATCTACTTTTGCCTGATCAGTTACTATGTGAGGGAGTTTGGTTCAGCTGATTTAATAATAATAGTTCTTAATAATTAGAATGGCAGTTCACAAACTGGATGATGAGTCTTCTTTTTAAAAATGTATATTCCTGCCCTAACTGGTTTGGCTCAGTGGAGAGAACGTCAGCCTGTGGACTCAAGGGTCCCAGGTTCGATTCCGGTCAAGGACATGTACCTTGGTTGCGGGCACGCACATCCCCAGTCGGGAGTATGCAGGAGGCAGCTGATCAATGTTTCCCTCTCATTGATGTTTCTAACTCTCTATCCCTCTCCCTTCCTCTCTGTAAAAAATCAATAAAATATATTTTTTTAAAAATGTATATTCCTGAATGTATTTAAAATTTTTATTTATTGACTGATTTTAGAGAGAGAAAAAGGGAAAAAGAGAGAGAAACATGATTTGTTGTTCCACTTATCTGTGCATTCGTTGCTTGATTCTTGTATGTGTCCTGACTAGGGATTAAACCCATAACCTTGGTGCATTAGGACAACACTCTAACCAACTGAGCTACCCAACCAGGGCTGGGTGATGAATCCTAAAGCCGAGCCAAACTGCCCCAAATTACCATCTGAATGGAAAAAAAGAGTTTATCTTGTATATTTTGCTCATTCTCCACGACGACATCTCTGTAAAGAGTTTACTGCTCAGAGGGGTTGGCACACCCCCTCTCATGGGCCATCGCCTCGCAGAATTGGGACGGTCCTGCCAGCTAGCAGAAATCTCCTGAACGGAGCCTGCGATGTGGCCAGGCTGAGCTGTGTCCTGCTCTGGCTCCTCAGTGATGACTGTCATCGGGTCTGGATCTCAACTGGGGTCCATTGTGTCCCCTCCCTGCTGCAGGGGACATGTGGCCCCATCTGCTGACAGGGCTGGTCATGACTGGGGGCTACCAGCATTGAGTGGGCGGTGGTAATGGTGCTGCTCAGCACCCCACAGGGCACAGGACACCCACCGTAGAGTCATCCAGCCCAGATGTCAGTGTGCTGAGGGTGCCCTGTTCAAACGCATCTGCCTCACTGAGTAAGTAAACAATTCACTAAAGAAGCCATTCAAGGAAAGAAGTGACAAAATGCTAGATATCCATTTAGAGGCTGGTAGCATCAGGAGGCTGTTGGGGGGCCATTCGCCCCAAGCTGCAAGGAGACGGGTGGGCTGCCACAGCGAGGGCGTCACAGCGAGGAGGAAGCCCAGTGGCTTGGTCTCAGCTTCAAGTCCACTGCTCTACGATGTAAAAGGTTTCGCACTATGGATGATGCAAGACCCTTAATCCAGCACTGCGGGCTTTGATACACTGTTCTCTGCCTCCGTTTTGGTTTTTGAGCCTTTGCAAATTTGGTCACACACATTTACCTTTTTCCCTCACCTCCTCTCTCCATCAGCCACCCAGGGAGCAGAAGTGTTGGTTTGTGGGAAAGGGGCCATGGGACCGGCACAAAGACGATTCCTCACCCCGACCCACTGGCTGGTGTGGTCTCCCTCCAGGTGCTCGCTTCATTTTGCATTTGAAACGCTTGCCCTCGGACATGACCCAAGGGAAAGCGCAGGAAGCAGGCCGAGCGGCGGTGGATAAGAACACGTGACCTAAGTCAGCCGTGCTTTTCTTCCACACCCACCAGCACTGGCCGCGGCCGAGGGGTTAAGATGAAGATACACCCACCTCTGCTCGCTGTTCTCACTTCTTACGGTCCTCCCAGGACAAACGTCATGTGAATTACAGATAAAATCACCTGTGGGGTAAAAGAAAATAAATAAAATAAATAAAGAGCCACGGTAAATAACTACTTTTAAATAAACCATGACTCTGTAGGAGGTTTTCAGAGTCTTAAAATAAAGATAAGGACTCTTAGGTCATTGCTGTAATTTCTTTCTGATTGTTAAACGTATCTCTGTTCAATTATTTTGCTTTGAAATGGATTTATTTTCTATATGTCAAGGTTACAGAGATTACAAAAAGCTTCTGGAGTGTACATATGAACAGAACTGAAAACGTGCTAATTAGATCTATTTTTAGCCATGTTGTGGAGAGAAATTGATGATTTCTTTTCAGTTATGATTTATGAGAACCACGTATAATCCCCAAATCGATAAGACACATAGAAATTTGGTAACTAATAACTTATCCACAAAGCAAGGTGCACACAGCCCAGCGGCATATAATAGCCCTAAAGATTTTTTAAATCAAACTTTTAATTCTGAGACTGTAGAGATCCTGGTACCCTCTACCCAGTTTGCCTGACAGTGGTATTTTGCAAACTGCAGCCCAACCTCACATCCAGGAGGCCACGCTGACACAGTCCAGACACGTTGCTGTCCGGTCTAAAACCACACATCTGGTCTCCATCTCGGTACTTCTGTCGTTTTAAGAAAGGTATAGAATGGACTCCCATGTTATGTACCCTTTCAGGACTGGCTTTTTTCACTCAGCATAATTCTCTGGAGAGTCACCAGGTGCCTGCTGTATCGACAGCCCCCTCTCCCCGCCTCCCCGGTGATGCCTCCAGTATGGATGTGCCGGGTTTGCTGAACACCGCACACGCTGAGGGACAGCTGGGCTACTTCCAGGAGTGGGGTATTATGAACAAAGCTGCTATAAACACTTCCATAAAGGGTTTTCTTTCTTCTGGGATAAATGCCCAGTGAAGTAGGAGTTTTTTTTATTTTTGATAAAGTCCAATTTATCATTTCCTTTTTTATTGACTGTACTTTTGGTGTCAAGAATAATTTGCCAAGTCAGACATCCCAAAGGTTTTCTACAATTTTACTTCTAAAATGTACAGTTTTACATTTAACCGGAAACCATTTTGAGTTAGTTTTTGTATACGGTGTGGGACTTAGGTCAGGATTTTTAGTGTATGAGTGTCTGTCTAATTGTTCCAACACCTTATGTTGAAAAGACTATCTTTCCTTTATGGAATCACCTCTGAACCTTTGTCAAAAATCAGCTGGGCACGTTTGTGGGCATACATGTCTGGATGTTCTATTCTGCTCTAGTGATCTATGTAAATATCTCTCCACCAATGACACAGTCTTGATAAATATAGCGATATAGCAAGTCCCGAAACTGGGCGGACTGTTTCCTCTGACGTTATTCTTCTTTTCAAAGCAGTTTGACTCCTCCAGTTCCTTTCCACTTCATACAAATAAACTTTAGAATAGTCTAAATTTACAAAAATAATCTCACCAGTCTCCTCACATACAATCCTGTTACAGTCGCCTGGGCCTCCTCACCCACAATCAGGCAGAGTCTGTAGACTCTCAACATGCATACTCTCATGGACTAAGTGTGTCTCTCGGTGCCTGTACTCCAGTATAATACTAGCTGCTAAATCTGTTTTAACGTATAAGTAAGAGAAATATAATTAGTACGTGTGTTTGCAGATGTACTGTTAAACCCATTTTTGTCTGAAGTAACTATTTGCATGTGCAGTTTTGCTTCTGGAGCCCAGAACAGAAATTCCATCCACCCACCACCACCAGCTCCCAGCTGCGGGCATGGCCGGTGGGTGATGGAGTCACCCATCTGCTTACTGGTGGGCCCCGCCAGCAGTTTGGAGGAGATGTGATCCCAGAAGGAGGGTTAACACTCCTGGGAGTTCTGTCCTTCCTTCCAGCAACCCCAAATCCATACTGAGCGTCTCTCCTATCAGACGGTCTTGGGGACAGTGGATGGACCCCCTGTGTGTCAAGGGACCCCAGGCCTGGGCCCTTAACGGCTTGTCCCACTCCCATCATTACTCACATGGCTGTACATACAACACACACAACAGCTCCTTTATGTCCTCAATAGTCTTAAGGCTGGGAAGTTTGAGAGCTGCTGTCCTAAATAACGGAGTCCCCAGCCTGCCCAGTGGTGGGGCCTGAGCCCCCTCTGGGCCCGGACGACTTCCCTCCAAGAAGTCTTGGAACATAAAGGAGAAATTCTCATGGATCCAGAGATCACTCGCTCTCCTGCCCTGTGTGCACCACGAAGGGGGTGAAGGGAGTGCGCCCCTTTGTGCCCCAGTGTCCGGGCACCTGAGAGGGGGTGGGCTGCACTGAGGAGAGGGAAGTCTGGAGCAGCGCTACCCAGGACTCCCTGAGCCTTATGTGAGGGGCCCAGGAGGGGCCCGAGACCTCCACGGTGTCCCCATGGAAGACCAGCAGGCGCCCTCCCACCCCAGGAAGAACAGGCCGCCCTCCAAGGCACCAAATAGCACATCTCAGGTACTTGAACACAAAGCGAGGGTCTGCCAAAGCACATGTTCCAGATACTGAGTTTTCACCTTGAAATCATGACCATTCTTAATTGGTCACTTATTTTCAAATCCATTCTATTAAGCAAGTGTCCCTCAGGGCCGAGGTGAACGGCAGGCACAGTTGGAGGTCACGGCTCTGCCGTCCCCAGCACCGCGGTGGGACAAGCAGCGGAGCGGCCCGACAGCAGTCGGGTTTCTGCGTAGCCGTGACTTCCGCAGAGACGCAGCCACTGACTTTCTGTCGAAGTAAGTCTTCAATCGAGGCCTGAAGAGCTGCCTGCACGTGAAGACCTCCCGCTGCAGAAACCATCTTTCCATTTGCAGCGTTCTTGACTCACCCACCGAACAGAACCCCTGACTCTCTGCTCCCCGCCCGAGGGCCACTCCCTCCCGGCGCTGTGCCAGGCTTGGGCGGGAGAGCAGACCCGCGGGACGAAAGCCCCACGGTCCTGACGATTTCCTCACAAAGGGCCTGCGTCTTCTTCTGCGCACGTCCTCTTCAAGTCTGGGGCACGATGCCGTGACATGGTGCTTGGCAGCAAAAGCAGGTTACAGCACAGACGTGTGGCTGTGTGTGTACACATTGTTTCTCTCTGTGGGCGGGCAGGTGCTTAAAGCAGCTTCCGAATGGAGTAGGTGTGGGCAGTGACATTTTAGGTGATTTATATTTTTTTGTTATGTTTTTCTCTCTGGTTTTGTGTGTGTGTATTTTTTTTAAACAAAAGATGCAAATAATTTTAGTATCTAAATAAAGGAATAAAATTATTCTAACTTTAGAGGGGAAATGACATCGTATAGTTTTTATATAATGAGACTGAAGTTCCATGAAATGACAGTATGATAAATGTACCTTTGTGTTAAATCCTTATTGGCTTTGATATCCTGAGCATTAAGACTCAAATTGATGTCAGGAAGCCTGAACCCACTTTGTGTTAAATCCTTATTGGCTTTGATATCCTGAGCGTTAAGCTCTAAGACTCAAATTGATGTCAGGAAGCCTGAACCCTTTCCACATGGGGCAGCTCTCTGAGCAGCAGCCCAGATGGACAGAAGAGATACTTTTGGATCCACGCATCGGCCACCTTAAAAACCAGAGTGAGTAATACTCTGTAACATATTGCTTGGCAAACAAGAAGGCTCAGGATTCTAGGAGGAGATTTTCCAGTCACTCAGATGTTTTCCTTTTCCTTTTTGTAACCACATGATTATATTAAAGAAATGTAACTTTTGAAACAGAAGGAATTTAAAAAATCTGTGACGTCAGGTAGTGAGAGCGCCCGTGTCCCTGTGTAAGGACAGGTGAGGCCCCGCCTGTGAAGTGCCGTCATTCATTCCATACAGTCCCAGGAACCAGACGTAGACTGTTTCCACTATGACAACAAAGTGCTGCTTTTACATTCTGGTGAACACGCGTCTGTGAGTCTGCCCTGTCGGGAGATGCCAGCTGGGGTGGGGACACGGGCTTGGGAACGCAGAGGGTCCAGGAGCTCGAGACCCTTCTGACCAATCCCATGTGTCTGGGGCAGAAAGAAACGCAGTGTTGAGAGAGCAGCTCAGGTTAGGCTGCGCTTGTGGGAGCTCAGCAGGAACTTCGGTTCATCGGGGAGACAATCTACTTGGAGTGAACCGGCGACCATTTAATTTTTATATAATTTGACTATAACAGCCAGGGTTCCAAAAATAAATAGTTGTATCACTTGTTTCAGGAACATGTTCTCTTCAGTTCAAATAGTTTCTAACTTGAAATGCATATTTGTTAGGAAAAGTGCGGAGACCTGGCTCAGGATGATGAGGGGGAAGAAGGGGCGGGTGCGCAGCAGCCTCGGCCGCTGGCCAAGGCCGCATCGTGGGGGAGGACGCTCTTCCTGCCGCGCTGCACCCCCCACCCGTGGTGTCCTCACCGTGGGTCCCGCCTGCGGCTTCCGCCTGCACTTCCGTGGGGATGACAGAGAGCTGCCGTCAAGTCCTCTTTCAGGGTGCCCGTCACGTGGCTCCTGGGAGGGAGAGCAAACTGGTTTGCAGCCACTAAATTCCCGCTGGGATGAGCCCGGAGCCTCTGTCCTCGGCCCAGTGACCCTCCCCTCTGACTGACTCACAGTCAGTCTGTCCTGTGGGGTGGTGGCCAGCAGGGTCACGGGGCGGGCACCGCACGGAGGAGGTGAGGTGGGACCTGCTTCTGTCCCACAGCCTTCTCTCCTGGGAGGACCCAACCTCCTGCCCCCATAGCTTCACGGCACCCTCCCCAGGACCGGGCCCTTGACAGGTTCAAAACTGTGAACAAATGAAGACCGAGGCCACCACAGGGTGGAGGAGGTGTGTGGGGAAAGGCGGTGGGACGCAGGGCCCTGGGCGGGGAGGCTGTGGGCAGCTGTCCTGTTTCACTGTGGGGCCAGTGGGGTGCTGAGGGGACGACAGACAACAAGGCATCCCAGTGAGCTCAGTGTGACCACTGACGTGACACCACTGAACACCTGCTGACCGTTCAACAGCGT